ACTGCTATAGCTGCAGTAAATAACTACACTGAAGGAGAACCAGCATCTTGGTGGTGCATTCAGGACTTTTTGAAGGGGGTAACAGGTCTTGGCCCAAGCAGATGCTGCAGCCCCTCGAGCACAGGGCAGCAGGGTGCTGGTGTCTGGGAGCTCCTGTGCACACTGATGTGAGCACAGACCCAGCCTGGAACATCTCCAGGAGAGGCAAATGATTCTTGAAATAGAAATTCTTCTCTTCTCAGTGTGAGAATGGTGGCAGAAACACAAAGTGCCTTTCATTGTGGAGCTGGATAGGATGTGCAATTATCTGAACTGATGGGAGTCCAATACTTTTTAACTTGGTTGCATTTTTCTGGTGCCTCCAGCCTGACAGGGCTTCCAGTCACTGCTACCTTTCTACACTTAGTTTTGTCAGTGCTCAGATACATTTTTTTTCCCTGAAACATTTGTTTGTCCCAATCTTTTGGATTTTTGTGGCTTGACACTTTGTTTGGCTTCCAGTGACTGTGAATCAGATGTGATCTTGCTGTAACACTCACCTTTCTTGCCTGCCCAGCTTTCCCAGGTGGACTCTTTCCAGGAACACCCTCTGCTCTTAGTGTTGTTTCTCTGACACATCTTTGCAGCTGGTCTAGAGCTAGATGAGCTGTTTTTCCAGGGCCATTTATGAATGACCTGAAATATTCTTCAAGTGACTGAAAAATAAACCTGCCAGAGCACTCTGTGTGCCAAAGAGATGCTGCAAAATATCTCAGCATTTTTTGGGTAGCTTTCTAAGCCTGGTCCTGGCTGTGTGCAAACATCATGGGCACTTAGGGTGGAAAGGTCACTTGCAAAGCAGAAGCATGAGCTTTGAAAGCCCCTTCTCAGGGAAGGTGAAAAGTAAGGACAGAGCAGTCAGTGAAGCCAGGAAGCTGCAGGGATAGCCAAGGTGACAGCTGAGCTGCTAAAGGCCAGAGACAATTGTCAACAGAGCATTAGGACAACTGGAAAGGATAGAAAGAAAAGAGGAGGTGCTGGGTAACTGGTGTCCTTGGCCAACTGTAACAATTAGAAGAAGAGAGATTGCAGGGACCAAGTGCTGTGGGTGAGTTACTGCAGGAACATGGTGAAAGCAGCTGCTGAAGGATTAAGGCCAGTTTTAGAGAATGGGAGGTGGAATGGTAGGAGGAGATGAAGTCAGAAGGAAAATGGAATGTAAAATTCAGGCAAGGGATGGTTGAAGAGAAGGCAGACGGTGGGGGGGGACCCGGCAGGAGATGTGGGGATGACAGAGTGCCAGGGAAATCCTGCCAGCACACCCAAGGTCAGCCCAACCTCCAGGCCAACTGCCAAGTGGATGGCAGCACGTGGGAGGCAGGGTTGCGGCCAGGCAGGGGGGTTTGAAGGAGGTACAGGTGTAGGATGGCAGAGAACAGTGTGTCTGTGCAGTCCTTGTGTCCAGAAATGTGTTCTGGGACAGAGCAGACAGAACTGGGAAACTTGCACTGCTCAAGGGGCAAATGAAAGCTTTTCTCAAAAAGCAGCCCTGGAAATGCTGGGAAGTGTTGCTGCTGAGGATGCTTCCTGCACTGCTCACTCCTGGGGAAAGAACCTGTGCTTGGGGTACCAGCTGTGTGCTGGTGTGTTTTGGCTTGAGACTCCTTGTGTGACCTTGTGCAAATCAGTGTCACCTGAAAACCCAGCTGTAGGCAGCAGCCATGGCTGGGCTGGCTTCTGGTTCCAGAAATGGCCATTGAGTGTCTGCTGATCTCTGCACAGGGAGCTTGAGTCAGAAAGGTGCTTAGGAGGGAGCCACATCTCTTGAGTTTTCCAAATGCACCTTGAATAAGAAGCTGTATTCACACCAGTGAAGATCCTGGAGGTCTGCACAGCCCCTCTGTGACTTTGGATCTCCAGTATCATCAAAACCCAGCCCTCCCACTGCCCTGCACCCTTCTTGTCAAACAAGTTCATTGCACAAAGAGGGTGGGGGTTGAATACACCTGCTAGTGGCAGGGAGCCAGGAGCCAGTGTTGTGGGGGTATTTTCATTTAAACCACCTCGGATTTGGATCCAGCAAACCCTAATCTGCACACAAAGCACCTGTATGGGGGATGGTTTCAGCTCCTGGAGAGGGAGATGCTGCCAGTGATGGGCATTTTCCTTGAGAGACCCTGCAGAGCTGCTTGCAGTGGGGATGAGGGCTGGGCAGGTGAAGCTGGGCATGGTGAGGTGGTTGTTACCCCAGCACCTGTACTTGGTGGACACGTGCTCTCCTGCAAACTGTGGCTTGCACAAGGCAGCTCTGGTAGGGATCAGAAGCTGGAGCATGGATCAGGGGACCCTGTGGGGGGGGCTGGGACCCCAGCACATCCTTGTTACCACTGACCTTGGCACGAGCTCTGCCTGCTGATGGATCAGCTATGGAGCTGGACAAGACCCTAGGGAACCACTATAATATCTATTATGGTCCCATCAGTGCCTCCCCTGACCCCTCCCAGCTCTGAATGCCACAGGCATCAGGGAGGGAATAAATCTCTGTCTGCTCCTGAGAGAGAGAGAAGGGAGGGAGAGCAGGAAAAAAGGAGAGATGAAAAATGTCCTTTTGATGACTCTCACAACAAAGCCACAGGATTGGTAGCAAATGTTTCTCTGGGAAAAGGGAAGGGGAGAATGGGGGGAGGGGAGAAAATCAGCAAAAAAGCAGAGCTGCTTCTCTGCCCTGGAAGTTGCCTGTGGGGAATTGATAGAAGGGGTGTGGGTGACCTCTGAAGGTAAATATCCCAGGAAAGGAAAGAGGCTTCAGAAAGCTCCTTCCAGTGTCTGATGCTGCCTTGTGAAATGTTCCATGCAGCCCATGTCCACCATGAAAGAGGAGCAGAGGTGTAAGAGATCCTTGCTTGAGGGAGTAGCAGGCTCAGGGGGTGATTAATAAGGCTCTAATAACATCCACAGCATTTGTGTTCATTTCTGTTTGGAATGATTCAGGAGAGCTTGTGCTTGTGAGCCTGGGGAGAACTCCTGACCTTGTCTTTAGGAGACAAACCTTTAGCAGCACAGCCCAGGGCTTGAGGAGGGGCTGGAGATCCACTCCCAGAGTTTGAGAAGCCCTCTGCATGTTGCCCACTGACAACTGCAAGACCACAAAGGTGTTGCTGTGACACTGCTGGATTGTTTGGGCCTTAACCCCTGTGCTGCTGACCCCAGGGAGGCAGTCCAGCCTTAGGGCTGCAGTTCCAGCTGCCCAGAAAAGCTCCCAAAGGGCTGTGGTGCAGACTGGGAGCATTCCTGGGGATTGTTCCTGAGTGTGGCCATCAGCAGGCAGGGGGGCTGCAGCCTCTTCCAGGCTGATGGGGAAGGCACATTTGCTCTCTGGCCTTCTCAGCCTTGTCTAGGCACTGAGGTGCAGGCTCTGCTCTTGTTGAAAAACTTCACTGCTCCTGAGGTGTCTATCAAAGGGGACATTTTAAAGTGTGTGGGGTCTTGGGAAGGGACTGCAGGCCACCACTTTCTTCTCCTGTCCCCAGACAAATGTGTCTGGGCTGTGACTGCCTCCCCAGTTAGCAGCACTGAGAACATGTTCATACTGGGTTTGGAGTTCAAAAGCAACTGAAATCCACTGACAACCAGGTCAGTGGTGACAGGGCAGGTCTGGCTGAACCTAGTCAGCTGTGACTGGGGACAGGCTTGGGCTGGGGAGTGCTCACCAAAGCTGTTGTCTTTATCTTCAGTCATGGAAAAGTGTGTTAAATTCCCTCTCTTACCACAATGGCTGGAGTAATCCCAGTAATTTGATTTTGTCTATAACGTGCTTTTAAAGTAAAGGGATAAATACAATCAGCCTGCATAAAAGGTGGCTATTAAGGAGCAGGCAAGTTGGACAATAAGAACTTAATTTAAAGCCCTTTTTCACAACTCCTGCTGTCGTGGGGTCTGCAGATTTTCCTTCAAACTTTTGAAATGTGCCTGGACTTCTTGCAGGCAGCCACTTAACCTCCGTTTATGAAGAAATAAAGCAAAATTGATGTTGATTTTGGTCTACATTGGGGGATACTTTTGCAACATAAAAGCCCTTTTGCCTGCAATTTGCAGAGCAGGCCTGTCACACTGGTGAGGGCTGATACTGATCAAGATAAAGCTTTATAGCTGGGGCATTTGCAGCTAACAGCAAGCTAATGCTACATTTTCATTTTGATGCAATTAATGTTAATGTCTGCGACGAAAATTGTCATTAAATACCATTTTAAAATCCATTCAATTTGCATATGCAGAGCCCATTTACTATCATGTAAAATACACGGGGCTGTTCATCATGTCTTTTCTCCAGAATTTGTAGCTGTTATTTTTCTGGTAGTGATTATTATCCAGCTCTTAAAATGAAACCTAATGTCTGGTTCAGACCTGCACAGAGCAAGAAACTCCCCTGTGTTCCAGCAGCTGCTTTGGAGCCCCATCCAGAGGCTCTGAGCACTTTTTTGGACTCCAACTTGCTCTCTCCAGCCTCCCTCATGCTCCTGTGGAGGACAAGGGGTACAAGAGGGGGTACAAGGACCTAGAAGTCAGTCTAAAGTGGTGATGTGCTCTGCAGACTCCCTTGTATGATTCCTTGGGAGGAATTAGTTGCAAGGTGATGAACTAACAAGGGGGATAAAGAACTTGAACTGACCCTTTCCTGCACCAGAGAAGCTCAGCCCATGTAAAAAGGTAGAGATGCAGCTGCTTTGATTTTCTGACCCCATTATTCTGCCTTACAACTCTTCTGTTTCTTGAAGTTAAAGGATTGGATTGAACATTTTTAAAGAGGTTTCAAGCCCTTAGTGCCACAAGGTGTAATTACACCACAGTGTGTGGTGTAGATCAGATTTAGGCAGCTGATTGGACACAGACGTGATGTTGTGACTCAGTTGCAGCATCTCCAGGGTCAGGACACTCTGGGGACTGTGCTGGCTGAGGTGGGGGAGATGCAGAAGGTAAGGGATAACCCTGTTGTGAGAAGGCCCTCAAGCCTTCCCCCTTACCGTGTTGGTTTGCCATAGGTCATGTCTGCAGGTAATTTAGGAGGACGTCTCCTGCTGTCATCACGTTTGCACCGAGTGTCCTTGGCCTTGTAGTACAAATTGAATTCATGGGCTGTTCTGCAACCATCCTTCAGAGCAGCAATGTTCATGGTGATGAAGTCTCGGGGCATTTCATGATCTATATTGATCCTGGGCTTTGCTGTGTTCCAGTGGCCTATTGCTGGAGATGGAAGGAAATAGAAGCAAAGAGAATGATCAGGCATTTCTGGCACCTCCTGTTTGGGAAGGCAGGCTGGTGTCTGCACCATGCATGTGGGCCTTGTGTGGCTTGTATGGCTGAATTGTGGAGTGAACTTTGTCCCATCCCACCAGATTTCATAGCAGGACATGTCCCATCTGAATCAGATGTCTTCCCACCTCCACCCTGGCTTGCTCAGCAAGTCTGATTTCACAGGGAAGTTGTCCCTGAGAGCACTAAGTGGGAGCTCTAAGAAAAGTATGGAAGTGGCCAGGTGTGTCACCCTTTGCAGGTGCCAAACCCCTCTCTGCTTGGGCTCTGTGGGGTCCTGTGAAAGTTTCCAGTAAGGAACTTTTCCAGTATGATAAACTTCACTAGTCACTGAGCCATTTGGGTGCCATTAATGAAATGGGTGAATGTTGGAGCTCTTCCCCTTCAGCTTGGTGAGAAGTATTAAGCACTGGGAAGGAGAGGAGAGTCCCTACTACCTTTAGGACTTTCTTGCAGGTCTGTGTTTGAGTGGTGGTGTCATACCTCCAGGGACTCCTCCATCTGTCCTTTCAATGTACAGCCCATAAGCAAAATCAAAGCCTGGCAGGGTGTAGCAGTTTCTCCGGGGCTTCCCCACTTCTGCCTGCACAAGAGTGAAGTTAAAGAAGTGTAAAGACCTTTCCTGATAAATTAAAGCCCCTGGAAATAAGATTCTGTAAGAGACCCTGGTCAGGAATGGCTCTGGCTCCACCTGGCACAGGTTTGAATCTCACTGTCTGGACACAAGTGAGTGTGATAGTGCAAAAGGAGATCTCAAAGCCATGAGACTTCACCAAAGCTGAAGTCTAAGGGATGCTGGATTTCACACCAGTTTTTCCTGACCTAGCCTTGCTGGAAATGGGGATCCTGGATTGGTAAATATGAGCTTGAAGTCTCCTTGTTTGGTTAATTTCTCCTTTGGCTGGGCTGCATACCCAAGGTGTCTGCTGGGGACAGTGCAGCTGGTCTTTCCTTGGAGTTGTTTGATTTCCAAGCTGTGCACCCTCCTAGAAAACTGGCACAAACTTCTCCAAGCACAATCACGTCACCACTCCTGCCTGGGAATAACCAAGACAGGAGGCATGTTGCAGGAGGAGGAGAAGGGGGGACAAATAAGGGGGAGCAGAGCCTGAGGTTTATAGCACAGAAGAGAACTTGAGCTCAATAACCTCATTTTTGTTCAGTTTTAAAATGAGCTCTTCCCCAGCCCATGTGTGTCCCAGCCTGGTGGTGTCTGTGGGATTAAGTGACCTCTTTTCACCCTTTTGTCTCTATCCTCCCATCTCCATGGTGAAGTCACTGCAGGATGTGTGTCTTGAAACCTTATTGCTGCTGGAAAGGGAGGAGGTGCAGGAGGGAAGGGGTGAGAGTCTGGAGCTGCATGTCCTTTCTGGGGGAAGCTGGAGCAGGGTTGGGCAGAAGCTCCTCTGGAGCCCTGAGGCCTGATGTGGGTGCTTGCTTTTTCCAGGGGAAAAATATTCTGGTACCAGAGCAGCTTAGTGAGGTCAGATCTGCTATGACAGCAAAGGTGGGGCAGATGGGAGAAAATTGCTGAGAAGCTGCAGGAGAGGAGAGAGGTTTGTAACATGTGGCAAAGCTGTTTGCAGCCCTTTGAATGTAGAACTCTGTAGGGTGGGAGAAATTACAGAATTTAAATATTCCCTTCTGCAGAGCACCTGAAGTTAATACTTGGGGTTAGGATTAGGTGATCTTTTAGGTCCCTTCCAAACCATCTATGAACACAGTTGGGTATTTACTCATAGCAAAAGGAGTGCATGCTGCTGCTTTTTGTGATCAGGTGGCATTTTACAGTCACTTTGCACTGAATAAATAAAGCTGAAGGTGCTGGATAATTAATAAAAAAAAAATCTGGTCCAACGTGTTGAACATGGAGAGAACCTGTGCTGAAGAAAATCAACAGACTCTGAGGACTCTGGTTGTCTGCCAATGTCACCTCCCCACAAAAGCAAGGATGGGAAGGAGGTGGCAGGAATGAATCTTGCTCAGTGGCATCCAATGCTACAGCCTTTCTCATTCATAAATCAGCAAAATGCAGTTGCAACCTAATGGGCTGGTTTCAGCTGTTTGTCCTGGGGTGTTCAGGTGTGCTGTGGTGTAAAGCAGTGGGGGGAACCAGCCAGAGTTGGTGCAGAAGGTCTTTTTTCCTTCCCCAGCTCCAGCACCATTTCCTGTGTTCAGGTTTAGGCTGTCACAAAGCTGCTTGGCTGGAATACAGATCTGTCTGACAGCTGTGCCCATCAGCAGACAACTTCATTAAACCTCATTAAGATGTCATTTCTCTGCCTTATTTCCCACCTCTTGGCTCTAATTAAAACCGTCTCTCTCTGCATCCCAGGCGGTCCTAATTTTCTCTGGGTACCTTCTGTAAGTTTTCTCCCTTTATGACTTCAGTGAGGAAAACCCAGCATCCTAAATACTGTTTATCCAGCTCGTTCAGGAAAGACAACCCTAGACTTTTTCCTGAAGACCATCCTGCAGAGATTGTCACCTCTTCTCAGGGCTGTGAGAGATGAGTGCTAAGGTTTGGTTTTCTCTCTGTCTCTAAGGACTCTGTTAGTGCACCCTTTCCCCTTAGACATGGTAACTTTCATAGCTGAATGAGGTGTATTTGTCCTGGGTTTGGAGGGTGCTGTGCTCAGATCAGCCATGATGCAGTGGTGGAGCTGTTTGATCCATGAGGATACCCTGCTCAGCTGAAGACCAAGTGGTGTTGGGTTGTATCGAGCTCCCTGGACTTTGCTGGCTGGTTTGATTTGTGCACCCCCAGGTTGGAGCCCTGGGTTTGTGTTTGAGTGTCTAATGGTGTTGGAAAATGTTTGCTATGAAGGCAGAGGAAGGTTCAGAAATGAGTCTGTAAGACGTGGGAACATTGCAAAGGTGCAAGGAAGTACAAAACCTCTCAGGATTCCAGGGTTTGTGGCAAGACTTGTGTGTCTCATCCCCTGGTATTTGTGGCCCATGCATCAATTTCCTGAAGATGGCACAGACTGTGAGAGAGGTAGTAGACCTGTCTGTGCACAGAGAGGTGGAGGCATGGATTTTTAATCCCTGCATCTGAGAAAGCCCTTCCCTGGGAGGGGCAAATCCATGAGTCCTCATTGGGTCCCATCCCCTGCTCAGGCTCTGCCCTGTGCCCGCAGCCCCTGCCCGCTGCCTTTCAGCCTGCCAGGCTCCTTCCCACCTTCTGTTCCCCTTTTCATTACACCCCCTTGTACAGTAAAGCCTCCTGTCACGCTGCCATTACTATTATTATTGCAGATTTACTGCACTTGCAGAGTGAAGTGATTGCAGTGACAAGGCCCAGCATTTTTCCCTCCTTCCCCCCGCGACAGCTTGAAATCAAGCCCTTCATTTGCATTTACATGATCTTGCTGTGCAGCTTATGAGATCGGGAGATTTATTTGCTACTTAGCTTGATGTTTGATTACACTCTAAGAAGGCAGTGAGCTACAAAGTGCAGGGATACATCAGAACTGAGCTACTGAGAGCCTCTGGGGTACAGTAACTCAACATCAGGTTTAGGTAGATGAGAAAGGGAATGTTCAGTGTTTTGAGGAAGGCAAATTTGTTTAAAGGTGGAGGGGGGGGAAGCAAACCACCTTTCCTTCTCTCACAAAAAATGGTTGGGGAAGCAAGACACTTGTTAGAAAAAACACCTGGAAATCTGGATTTGTTAGTGCAGAAGGAACTTGCAGAGGCTGATGGCTGCTGGGCTGCCTGTTACCAACTGCCTGTAGCTTCCACTGCCCATAGGACTGTTAATGACAAGCTGGCAGTTATCTTCCAAGGTTTTCATAAACATGAAAGGTCAAAGGAAGTCTTGCTTGATGAAGGACCACAAAATCTGTCCCTGGTTTGTTAAGCTTCAAAACGTGGCCCTGAGCATCAATCCTGCTGTAGTAGTAGGGAAACTGAGGCAGGGAACTACAGTGCCCATGTAGTACAGCAGGGGGAATGGAGTTTGGGCTGGGGAGAGAAGGGAACTGTTCCTGATACTCTACTGTGTTTGGGGTGGGAGACCAAATTCTTGGTGTCCCACAGTGGTGTCAGAGCCTTCCAGACTGGCTGGTAGTTGGGCAGGCTGCTGCCCTGGGGGGCAGGAGCAGCCAAGTTCAGGGATCTCGCTGAGAATTTAACTCCTTTAACTACCAATCCTCCAGACAGGGTGAAGACCCTGACCTGGTGTACATCTACACATGTGGTCTGCACTGCCCTGAGCGACCCATGACAGGAGCTGCAGCCTTATTAACTCAAACCCCTTGAGTGCCAGGGCTAAATCAGAAAGTTTTTCTCCTCTAGAAGCTCCTCTTTGTGTAACAACAGCAGCAGAGGAGGGTGGGATGTGGGTGTCCCCCTTGCTGGGGTAGGTACAGCAGTTAGAGAAGGCAGATGACACTTCCAGCCTGGGGTTTTACTCACCCCCTGTCCCTCCCCATCTTCTCTGCTCATGGTGGGGCCATAATGCTGAGAAGTCAAGGGCCAGGCACGTGGGTCCCCAGCACCAACCCCTGTCTCAGGAAAGCCTCCTGCTATCTGGTACAGTAGCTTTGTGTGTGAACTGTTTATACTTAGCTTTTAGTCTTGAAAATTGCCCTGAGATATGCTATTACAATTAATCATTAAAGGCCTTAAAGACTATCCCCCATTACATAAAATACTCCAGCGATGATCTTTATCCAACTTGTAAAATGGGGGGGAACTTGATGGGACTGAATAATTTTCCTCTCATCTGCACAAAATCATGAATGCAAGTCATACTTTGAGCCTGAAGTGAACACTGCAAGACCAGCCTGTAATTACCAAAACAGAAAAAAAGAACAGCGCTTTCTAATGAATGACAAGCCACTAGGTGGAAATCTAATTTGGTCTAATTAAGCAGCCTTTGTGAGGATTTGTCTTTAGATGAAAAGAGGGAGCCAAAGAGATCTAAATGCAAATGAACTCTATCATTTTGGTTTTAAAGAGCTAGACAGATATGAAAGTATTTGCGTGCACAAGACTTTCATTTGTCTTCAGGGCTGTTTTCACCTTCTAGTTTTCTGTTGAAAAATCCTGTTCTCCCCCAAATTCTGGGACTCTGAATGCCTGTCATCTTTATTGAGTTAGAGGATAACGTGGTGTTAGAGGGACAATTTTAGCAGGAAGGCATTGCAACAGTTAAAATTGCCTTTCTCCATAATAGGGCTGCTTCTTTCTGCAGTTTTGGGGAAAAAAAAACCAACCCTCTTTGCTGGAGAGTCAGCTCCCAAGTCTGCTGCTTTCAGCAGTGGCACCATATAACTTGGGGTCTTTGGGGCCACCTGAGCTCCTCCTCGGTGCCTCCATGTCAGTGTGAATTACTTCAGCATTGATAAATCACCAACACCTTGCCCAGTCGTGCTATTTCTGCTGATGCTGCCAAGAGTCTCCAAGCAAGGAGCAGGCAGCCCAGGAACAGCCCCAAAGGCTGAGAATCACCGAGGTGTTTGACTGTAATTGAGATGGAAATATTGAAAACGATCTGTTCCTGCTCTGTTAAATCTGCTCCTGACTCCAAGATAAATTGGGGCCTGGGTAAGGTTTTGTGCCAGCATTGAAGGTCAAAGAAGCCTACGTGTTTCTGTGGTGGGTGTCACAGCTTGTGAAGTTCATATCAGTTTGCAAGCCCTGGAGAAGCAGCCAGGTCTGTAGTCATAAGGCAAAGCTGCTGGCAGGAAGGACAGGTTGGCTGAGCTAGATGGAGATGGGTGCAATTTTTAGCTACCACTAGAATGAGGTGTGTTCCTGATCCTTCTTGAGCCACAACAACCACACACCTCTAAGAGGTGGAACGAGTCTGGGAGAGATTTGAGGATGGAAAGGGTGGGTTCAGCATGTGGTGGCCCGGGAGCAGCTGAATGGAGGGAGACAACTGAGTCCTTGTTCTCCTTCTAGGGAAAATAGAGGGGGGTGTCTGGACACATCGGGGTGGGAAAAGCAGTGGAATAATTCTGTCTCCAGTGCAGGGAAGAATGTGGGCAGAACAGTGCATGGCACCTTGGCAAAAAAGCCATTTTACCATCTTTGCACTTGATCCTCCAGAGAGGTGGGACCTCCAGAGAGTGGCTGGGGAGGGTGTAGGGATAGTGTCACTTCCCAGAAGATCCCAGTCTTGGGGATCCCTGCTGTCTTGCAAATCCTGAGGTCAAAATCTGCCAGGGAATATTTTTGCTCAGTGTCTGTTGGCTGCAGCAGGAGCACTGAGGTTTAGCTGAGAGCAGGATGGGGTTGTGTGATGTCTGGGACTGAACATCCTCTAAATATTAAAGAGATGAGACAATGTTTTTTTAAAAAAAGTTCCCATCCCCTTTCAGCAGTTATGACCTTTTCTCTGTGCTTCATCCTTAGTAATATCTGTTCTATAAACCTCCCCATCTGCTGCTCCAAGAAAAATCCCCTTCTGTTCCCAAGGCCAGATGTCTCATTCTGTCCAGCACAACTCAACTTAGTGGAGCTGCTGTTTACTTTTCAACTTGTAGAGGTTGTTTTTATTTTCTCCTGAACTTTTTGGGGTGCTACAGACCATACCAGGCTACGTGCTGCCAGCAGAGCACCCAGACAAGCCACAACAGCATTAAAGGAGTCAAATGCCAGTGAGAATTTGACTCTGGGCCTTGTCAAGCAGACTGAACATGGCCACATTCCCTGTAGAGCAAAACAGCTCCCCAATGGCACAGACCTCTGATTCTTCTGGTCAAATTCAATCTCTGGCTGCAAATGAGACCCTGGCTGCTTTGAGATCTACCTGGTGTTTCACAGCACAATTTTCCTGAAGTCAATACACCTGGGGTACCTCCTAGAACAAAATATTCAAATATTTCAGACTAAGAGACAACTTGTTAAATTTGGGCAAACCTCTGGTTCAGGAATCTCTGGGCTTTCACTCAAGGAGGGACTTTGATCTCTGATCACAGATGCAGGAACTTACTAACTTCAGTCATCTATGTGCAGAATAATCTCCATTTTCATTAGAGAACAGATAAAAGTTTTTGCTGTGAAAAAAGGATGCTGTTTCTTTAATGTAATAGAACCTCAGCAGGACAGAATGCCTTTACTAGACTACCCCCCACTATTCCCACAAGAAATCAAATATAATCCTATTTAAGAAGCTTTAAATAATTTTGAGCTTTCATATTGACTTATTAAAATGCAGCTTAAAAAATGCCTTCCTTGCAATCCCTTTACAAGGGTCAGGGATATAAAATTTGAAGAAATATGATTAGTAGATCAGCTGGAAAGATATGCAGCAGCTTCCAATTTTATGATTTAAAATGCCCTTTTAGAAGAAAAGGTGACTCTGTAAAAAGTGGCATCAACTCCTGAAGGAATCTAGTCACAGGGTTTCCTGTCCTGCAGTCAACAGCCACCACATCTGCCAGGTTCTCCTTAGACTTGAAGAGTCCTTGCAGCTGGGATGGAAGAGTTGGATTTAGTGTCCTCATACCCCAAGAAAACAGAGGCTTGTCAGGCTCTAAGCATAGAAGAAGCCAGAAGCACTTATGGCCATTCTTTGTGTGGTGCAGAGGACAAAGTGTGATAAGAGATACCAAGATGCTACAGAGGACAGAGCTGTGACCACTGGCACAGTTTGGCCCACAGAGCCTTTCTTCTGCCTGGAATGTGTGAGGGATGAAGAGCTTCTGTAACCTTTCAGATGAGCCTTTTTGTCACTTTATAAACCAAATAGAAAATTCTAGATCAAACTGTTCCAACCCTCTGCAGAGTGAACTGCATCTTAGCCAAACAAATGGCTACAAACTCCAGGGGTCCATGTAGAAATCTCCCCAGACTTCAGTCCTGTTGCCCGTGTTCAGTCCTATTGACCTGGGAAGAACTGGGATTTGTAAGCAAGAGCATTTTGGGGCCCATTGTTAGAAAAATGAACTGGAAAGTGCTGAGCAGAGAAAACTGAAGCAGTTGCAGGTTGTCCTGAGCTTCTACTCTGCAGTTCTCCTGGGATTAGCAGGGTTGGATGGATGTAAATGATGAGACAAATCGACCCCTGCTCTTTTAGTATATTAAACACAGGGAAGACCCAAATTGTGCTGTCAGTTAGACAGAACTCCCATTAAGCACAGAGGGTCTTGTGCTAATTCAAGAATCTGCCCGAATAATTTGCTCTGTCCTACAGCAAAATGTATTCAACATGCTGAAATTTAACTGCAAAACCTGGTGAGCAAAATCACACCCTGCCCATTACACTTACAGCCACTTACTGTGAAATCCTAATGTGTCAGACTTTCTCTGGGAAATAAGGGAACTAATAACTTTACTCCTGCCTAAGGCTGGACTTTGGTCAAGGCTGTCAAGGTTTCTATGATTTTTCATGTGTTTTTTGAAAAAATATCCCTGATTTTGACATGCTGGGACTTGTGTGTGTGAGTGAGCAGGGAGCTGTAATAGCTGAACTTCCCCTGCAGTGCTGAGCCCTGGGCTCTCTGCAAGACAAACACCAAAGGGTCCTGAGCCCCCCAGGTTCCTCTGTGTCCCCAGCTCTCCAAGAAGTCAATGACAGTCAAGCATGATTGACTGCTGGCAGGATCTTGCCCGGAGTTTTTTCCTGTGGTAGAAAAAGCAGTGACACCAAAGCCAAGACCAGTAAATCCTGGAGAGAGACCTGGTCCCTCAAGGAGTTGTCATGAGGTTCTTCCTTCCCTTGCCTTCCTAATTTTCTATATTGATAACCATAATTGTGAAACTGGGCTGAAATAACACTGGGAAGTTGCTGCCAATGGTTAAAACCTATTGTTGCCTAGAGGTTGATCTCATTAACAATGCTAAAGAGATGGCAAAAGTTATCTGGCTTAAAGTCATGCTCATTATCTTTGCAAGATGTATGTATTTCTAAAATTCCCTATAAACCTACATCTGAATCCCTCATTGCTTTCACCACCAAATTTTCTCCCTAAAATTTCAGCTCTTTGTTCCATTGTTTTTTTCTCTCCAGTCTAGTTTTTTTTTCCTCTCCAGTTCTCTTTTTTTTTTTTTTGAAAGGCTTGAGCACAAGGGATCCAAATACTGCTCAGGTGATGCACACAAGTAGCCCAACTGCTTTCATAGGGGCTACCTTCTGAAGCAAGCAAGAGTTGGCTCCGAAAAGTCACTTCATAATTGCATCAAATTTGCTAAATCAGATGCTTTCCCCTCCTCAAAATTCTGTTCCCTTCGTGCTCAGCCATTACAGAAGGCTCCTGCTCTGCTGGAGTTCTGACCCACATTTTCCCTGCTGCAGTCCAAATTTGCTTGCTTAAAGGTAAAGGGGGGAAAAAAAAATATCTGTCTCATCACATCTCTCCCAACCCCTGTTCAGCTGCTGTGGTATTTTCCTTCATTATGCTGCTGCCTCAGACTGTAAACCTCTCTAATTTCCTACATAGCAGCTATTTATTTAAATGCTAACTCGCATTATGAAGTGATAATCCACAAGCGCA